GATAATTTTGCCTAACGTTGAGCTCTCAGGAACGGATTAATATCGTTAGGCGAGGGTCCACTGTATACAGTGGAACCTCAAAATTCGAATGTATCACATATCGAACGCTTCAAAAATAGAACCCTTTTCTCGAACCAACTTTGTCCCTATTATCGAACGCACCCCTATTTTCAGACCACCGGGTACTGGACCTGTCCACCAGCCCACTCTGTCTGCGTCCCCGTGCAGGTGCTGTGAGCCAGTCTGGCTTTGTTTATGCTTGAGTGAACACTAACCTGCGTTCTCATTCAAACATTTTACGATTATTTCATTGTGTTTAGTGCTTGTGGGACTGTGAAATAAGCTACCATGGGCCCAAAGAAACTTGCTAGTGGTACCCCTGTGGTAAAGAAAGTGAGAAACACCATAGATGTGAAGAAGGAAATAATACAGAAGTGGAATGATGTCCAAATGTTTGTGCAGAAGTACCACCCTGAGCAAGCTGAAACAAACCATCTTTGCAACAAGTTCAGTGACAGAACCATGTCCCATTTTAGGGAAATGTTAATGAGGCACCAGAAACAGAGGACTGTGGACGGTTATTTTGAGAGACAGGGGTCCAGCGACTCTCAAGCTGGTCCTTGTGGCATTAAAAGACAGAGAAGGGAAGTAACCCCAGAGAGGGCTTTGATACCTGAAGTCCTCATGGAGGGGGATTCTCCTTCCAGCACTAACCCCAACTCCCTCTCTCCTCCTCCCTATCTTCCAGATGACATCACCAATCTTCAATAAGGGTAAGTGAAAATGTCATTTTATATTTATATACATAACTGAACACCATAGGATTTTAGATGAATGGTTCAGAGAACCGACATGTTGTTAAATTAGACACATGTACAACTCTTGGGTATCTTTATTGAGGAAACGTTTCGCCACACAGTGGCTTCATCAGTCCATACAAAGGAGAAACTTGAACAGGAGGAAAATGAGGTAATCAGTCCCTCAACCTTGAGTCGATGTGGTCAGTCCATCAATCTTGAATTCAAGATTGATGGACTGACCACATCGACTCAAGGTTGAGGGACTGATTACCTCATTCTCCTCCTGTTCAAGTTTCTCCTTTGTATGGACTGATGAAGCCACTGTGTGGCGAAAACGTTTCCTCAATAAAGATACCCAAGAGTTGCACATGTGTCTAATTTAACACAATAGGATTTGTTGTATGTATGTAAAACTGTAATTTATCTCTATAAAATGTATTTTTTGGTGAATATTTTTGGGTTTCTGGAACGGATTAACTGTATTTCCATTATTTCTTATGGGAAATATTGCTTCGATTTTCAGACTTTTCGAATTTAGAAATAGCTCCTGGAACGGATTAAGTTCGAAATTTGAGGTTCCACTGTACTTGGAACATCCCCCCAATGAAAAGCAGGGGTGAACTAGCATGATAAGAAACAATACAATAAGTGCCAGGGGCCCAAAACTGTTCAATTGCCTTCCAGCATACATAAGGGGGATTACCAATAGACCCCTGGCTGTCTTCAAGAAGGCTCTGGACAGGCACCTAAAGTCAGTACCTGACCAACTGGACTGTAGTTCATACATCAGTTTACAAGCAGCCAATAGTAACCTGGTTGATCAGCCTGGTTGATCAGGCCCTGATCCACCAGGAGGCCTGGTCACAGACTGGGCCACAGGGGAACTGACCCCTGAAACCTTCTCCAAGTGTGGGACTTCACTTTATCACTAATGACACTCCTTGTTATACATCTGTGTCTTCAACATCACTACCAATTTTCCATTTTCAATGAGGTAAAAAGAAAAAGCATTAAAGAAAACATTAATAACTGAGCAGCAGCAACATAACATTTCATATTATTTTGTCTGAGATCAATGTGTGTTGTGAATATTACACACACAGTAAGAATTTAAGAAATTGCCAACATTGGAATGAGATGTCTGTGTCCTTTTAAAAACAAAAGACTGAAGTTGTTTTGATTAATGTGTTTTCTTAATTAGGAAAAGTTCTTCAAAGCTCCTGCCCAAATACTACATATCAGCTTGTACATTCCAGAATGCAAATACAGTATAAGAACATAAGAAAGAAGGAACACTGCAACAGGCCTACTGGCCCATGCAAGGCAAGTCCAATTCTCCCACCAGCTTAAGCCGATGCCTTAACCTAGTCAGGTCAGTCACATTCACTTAAGGGAGGAGCACAGCATCTGACCTAGTAGCACAAGCTAGTCAGGTCCAACTCACACCCACCCACACCCACTCGTGTATTTATCCAACCTTAGCTTCTATGACGGTACTCAGGAGTTTCTTCCACTCCTCCACAACTCTATTACCAAACCAGTGCTTTCCTATATCCTTCCTGAATCTGAATTTTTCCAGCTTAAAACCATTGCTTTGAGTCCTGTCTATGCTAGATATTTTTAACATGCTATTTACATCCCCTTTATTAATTCCTGTTTTCCATTTATACACCTCAATCATTTTTTTTTTTCAACAAACCAGCCATAACCCACCAAGGCAGGGTGGCCCAAAAAGAAAAACGAAAGTTTCTCTCTTTAAATTTAGTAATTTATAAAAGAGAAGGGGTTACTAGCCCCTTGCCCCCGGCATTTTAGTCGTCTCTTACAACACACATACTAACGGAGGAAGAATTCTGTTTCACTTCCCCATGGAGATAAGAGGAAATGCTCTTCTTCTTTCAACGTACCAGCCGTATCCCAGTGAGGTGGGGTGGCCCAAAAGAAAAAACTAAAGTTTCTCCTTTTAAATTTAGTAATATATACGGGAGAAGGGGTTACTAGCCCCTTGCTCCCGGCAATTTAGTCGCCTCTTACGACACGTATGGCTTACAGAGGAAGAATTCTGTTCCACTTCCCCATGGAGATAAAAGGAAATACACAAGAACAATAACCAGAAAGAAAATAGCAGAAAACCCAGAGGGGTGTATATATAGTATATGCTTGTACATGTATGTGTAGTGTGACCTAAGTGTAAGTAGAAGTAGCAAGATGTACCTGAAATCTTGCATGTTTCTTTCTTCTTTCAACACATCGGCCGTATCCCACCGAGGCGGGGTGGCCCAAAAGGAAAAATGAAAGTTTCTCCTTTTACATTTAGTAATATATACAGGAGAAGAGGTTACTAGCCCCTTGCTCCCAGCATTTTAGTCGCCTCTTACAACACGCATGGCTTACGGAGGAAGAATTCTGTTCCACTTCCCCATGGAGATAAGAGGAAATAAACAAGAATAAGAACTAGAAAGAAAATAGAAGAAAACAAGAGGGGTGTGTATATACAGTATATGCTTGTACATGTATGTGTAGTGTGACCTAAGTGTAAGTAGAAGTAGCAAGATGTACCTAAAACCTTGCATGTTTATGAGACAGAAAAAAAGACACCAGCAATCCTACCATCATGTAAAACAATTACAGGCTTTCGTTTTACACTCACTTGGCATGACGGTAGTACCTCCCTGGGTGGTTGCTGTTTACCAACCTACTACCTATAACACCTCAATCATATCCCCCCTAATTCTATGCGTTTCTAGAGTGTAGATTCAGGGCCCTCGGTCTATCCTCATAGGGAAGATTTCTGATACGTGGGATCAACTTTGTCAACCTCCTTTGCACATTTTCCAGTGCATTTATATCTATTCTGTAATACGGTGACCAAAACTGTGCAGCATAATCTAAATGAGACCTAACCAAAGATATACAGAGTTGAAGAACAACCTGAGAACTTCTATTATTTGTATAAAATACTGTATCCAAAACCCTCGATTTAATGAGCTAAAAGGGGTAGGAGGGAGTCGGTGGCCAGTAATAACGATTGTAGTGAATACACAAAAGATTGTTTTGTAGTGATTGTACAGTTACAATAATACAATTCTGTAACAAACAGACTTTGTAAATTGTTTCTGAATCAATAAACTCAGCAAAGTTTTGTCTAGTATTTCCAGAGACCAGTAAATTGAAGTCCAATAAATTGAGGGTTTACTGTACATGCTAAATGTTTTTCAAAGCATAAGTTTTCAGCATGCTTGTTAAGTTTGGCTTATTATAAATATATTTTTTTTTTACCCTATAATATAATATTTTAAGAGGTTTTCTGTGCAAAGGGCTTTGACATGCAGCAAACGTTTGTGTGAGTGTGTTAGATAGAAGTGAATGGAGATGAAAGGTTTTGGGACCTAACAAGCCATTAGCATGTGAGCAAGGTAATATTTTGTGAAGGGATTCAGTAAAAAAGGTTAGCCAGACTTGAGTCCTGGAGGTAAGAAGTACAATGCCTGTACTTTAAAGGAGGGGTTTGGGATATTGATTGTCTGGAGTGACATCTAAACTACTGTATTTCAGTGCCTTTGCAAAGATAGTGCTGGTGAAGGAATTGAATGATGGTGAAAGCATTTCTTTTCTTTTTTTTTGGGGGGGAGGTCACCCTGTCTCAATGGGAGACAGCCGAGGTGTTGAAAAAAAACAAAAACAGTAGTACTGAGTACATATATTTTAAAATTATAAACATGCTTTAGCTAAGTAGACAGCAACTATCCAGGAAGGTGCTACTGTCCTGCCAAGTGAGTGTAAAACGGAAACCTGTAATTGTTTTATGTGATGGTAGGTCTTTTTTTTCTGTCTCATAAACTTGCGGGATAACAGGTATATCTTGCTACTTCTACTTACACTTAGGTCACACTACACATTCATGTTAACTCATATATTTACACACCAATCTGGGTTTTCTTCAATAGTTCTTGTTCTTCATTTATTTATTCCCATGGGGAAGTGGAAAAGAATTCTTCCTCTGTAAGCCATGCACGTCGTAAGAGGCGACTAAAATGCCAGGAGCAAGGGTCTAGTAACCCCTTCTCCTGTATAAATTACTAAATTTAAAAAAGAAAAACTTTTATTTTCCTTAGGTTACCCTGCCTTGGTGGGATACGGCTTGTTTATTGGAAAAAAAAAATGTTTTACCAGAATAACACTTAACCTTTTTATACTCACTTGCTCATTGCCTTCACGAACATTTTCAGTAGATGCCATTATAGTTTCCTGTATCTCCTCGATTTGGTGAGCCTGAAGATCAACATTTTCTGACAAAAGGTCTTGCATTTGGCCCAATTCAACCACCTAAAGACATTGAAAAGGTTATATATCCATTTCACACTTCTCAAACAAAACTATTAGTGAACATCCATTATTATTAGTCACATATTCCAATAGCAATGAAATATTTGTAAACATTTACTAATGTCTACATTGCACTGTATTATATTTCATGAAGCACTAAACCCATGTGGGTTGTTGAGTGTAAGGAGCAATAGAGGTTCAATCCTCTGACAGAGATTTGTGGCTCTGTCTCTGAGCAATCAGGCTGTATAATATGGAACAATTAAAAATATATTTAAATTGTAGTCATCTTTAAAGTACAGTGCAAGAAGGCCCCACTTTACAGTTACAGCATTTTGCTAATACAGCAGTTATCAATTATACCCATTCTTCATTTATTCAGGATATCTACAATAAATATATTCACCACTCACTTATATAAGTACAAAAATATTTTAAGACAAGTAATGTGTGAACTGTATATACATTTTCTAGGCCTAGCTTTATTGATCACTTAATATATGATAGTGTAAACACATTATCAGGCTTTTATATGCAATTTTTGCTTTACAGCGGTTACCAAAAACCTAACCTGCTGTAAAAGCGGGGCCCTTTCTTACAAGGAAAATGCAACAATATTCCATACATGCTCCTTTAGGCAATGTATCTTGAGAGAACATGCCACAAAATAAGTCAAGTGTATTGAGCTACAGTGATATATCTAACCCTTTTACTGTAGTGACCCACAAAATTCAAAGTGCTGAAAATGTCATAATTTAAAAAATAATTCATTTCCTGAGACGGCAGAGAATCTTTTTCTAAAGGTAATGATGACAAAAATCCTAAATTTAATGAAAAACTACAGAATTACACAGGCACAAAGTTGGTGGTCTGATCATAATTTATTTATTGGCAATCATGCCAACTTTGAGTCCAAGACTCGATTCAACCCTATTCTTAGCTATTTCTCTAGTACGCCTTCCGTTCAATCAACTGAGTACAAGACACCAACCATTCAACTATCAGAATTACCTTATAATGTTCACAGAGGTTCTTAATTTGGCCATTTTTACACAAACTAACAAAATTCCAATTAATAAACAATCCAAAATAAAAACTGTAGGCATTCCAGCCACTACAGCAACCTTTCCTCTGGTCATTAATCACTGCCCGCCATTTTGAATCGATTATCACACAAAAAAAATCAAAGCTTTACAATATTCCTTGGATAACAAAATATTACCAAGTATGATTGGTCATGGTTTAGGCCATCCCAGTAACTGAATCAGAACTAGTAAAAACCCATAAAACAGACTGGGAAAGAGGGCTTGGGAGGGCCTAACCTTCTTCAGAAAAATCACCAAAATTAAAATATTTCTGCCACTCTGAGCCTAATTTCAAGCTATTTCCAATCTAAACCACTTAAAATCATCTCTAATTCAATATTCCATTTTCTTAACTCATTCTGAGAAAAAGCCAATAAAAGAATAAAAAGCACACTAGAAAATGCCTCAAAGTGGTTATTTTAACCCTTTCAGTGTCCAGCCCTGATCTGAGAATTGCTGTTAGGGACCAAGAATTTAAAAAAAAAAAAAAATTCTTATGAAGTGATAAGAGAAGCTTCTTCTAAAGGTAATGAAACCAAAAGAATGAAATTTGATGGAAAACTTAGGAAATTATGCTCTCGCAAAGTTAGCGGTCTCAGCGATTTCACCCACTTTTTCAGCCAATTCCACTGTTTCAGTCGACCAAACTCATAGCTACTTTGCTAGTATTCCTTCTATTCTATTGACTTGAGTACAAGGAACTGCCCATTTACCTATTACAACTACTAAATGATCAGAAATTGGTAAATTGGCCATTTTCACACAAAATTAAAAAATTGTCAATTTATAAATAGGGTCCATAATAAATAATGTAGACATTCCTGGCACCAAAAAAACATTTCCTCTGTTCATTAGTTATGTTCCTAGGCCTCTCCTATATTATGCTTGCTTTCCATTTTGAATTTTTATTCACACAATGAATAGATTTACTGTTATGCAGATTACTGTAGTATTGTAATAATTGTATAAATGTTAGTGCATTCATGAACACAAATTAGACTGATCAGTTGGACGTGTATCAGAGGAGTGATGTAATTTGTGTGCTCTGAAATATCAGCAAAAATAGAACATTTCCAATTTGAGCTCAATTTGAAGCTACAGTGGACCCCCGGTTAACGATATTTTTTTACTCCAGAAGTATGTTCAGGTGCCAGTACTGACCGAATTTGTTCCCATGAATTAGATTAGTCCATTTCAGACCCCCAAACATACACGTACAAATGCACTTACATAAATACACTTACATAATTGGTCGCATTCGGAGGTGATCGTTATGCGGGGGTCCACTGTATTTCCAATCCTGAAACCAATCAAAATCATCTCTATTTCTGTAATATATATTCCATTCTTTCTAATGAGACCAAGAAATGGAGAATACAGTGGACCCCCGGTTCGCGATGCTATCGGTATCCAATAAATCCAGTATCCGATGCATTATATCGCAAAAAATTTGCCTCGGTTCCCGTTACAAAACCCGGTATGCGATACGATTCGTACGAGACGTGTCCACGTGTGGCCTGAACTGCCCCGTGTGTGCCAGTGTTTACAAGCCAGCCAGTGTGCGTGCATCTAAGGATACATTCAGTACATTCCATATTATCCATATTATCACTGTTTTTGGTGCTTGTTTCTGCAAAATAAGTCACCCTGGGCCCCAAGAAAGCTTCTAGTGCCAACCCTGTGGTAAAAAGGGTGAGAATTAGTATTGAAATTAAGAAAGATTTTGAAGGGTTTGGGGCTAACCCTGAGAAGCCTATGCCAGTTGTGGAATCCATTGTGCCTACTTCAAAAATTAAGGAAATGTGTGCACAGTGGGTTGAACTGCAAACCTTTATGGATGAAAATCACCCTAACACAGCTATTGCAAGCCGTGCTGGTGACTATTACACTGACAATGTTGTGAACTACTTTAGGAAAGTCATAAAGGAACGAGAGGTACAGGCCTCTATGGACAGATATGTTGTGCGACAGAAGTCCAGTGACTCTGAAGCTGGTCCTAGTGGCATTAAAAGAAGGGAAGTAACCCTGGAAAAGGACTTGCTACCTCAAGTCCTAATGGAGGGGGATTCCCCTTCAAAACAATAGGTTCAACACTCTCCCCTCCTCCCATCCCATCAATCATCACCGGATCTTCATTAAAGGTAAGTGTCAATTATTCTATTGGTATTATTCTATTGTTATTGTTGTTATTGTAATTATTCTATTGCATTAAACTTAATATTTCATGTGGTAAAAGTTTTTTTTTTCATACTTTTGGGTGTCTTGCATGGATTAATTTGATTTCCATTATTTCTTAGGGGGAAAATTGATTCGCTTTCCGATAATTTTGGTTTACGGTGAGCTCTCAGGAACGGATTAATATCGCGAACCGGGGGTCCACTGTATAACCATAAAAACAATACAAAAATACACTGCAAAACCTTTGTTTTTAACCCTTTGACTGTTTTGGCCGTATATATACGTCTTACGAGCCAGTGTTTCGGACATATATATACTCAATAATTCTAGTGGCTTCAAATCAAGCAGGAGAAAGCTGTTAGGCCCACATTTGAGAGAATGGGTCTGTGTGGTCAGTGTGCACCACAAAAAAAATCCTGCAGCATGCAGTGCATAATGAGAAAAAAAAACTGACCGTTTTTTTTGGATTAAAACGCCGACTTTGAGGTGTATTCTTGTATAGTATTTATCTTTGTATTCTCATTTTCATGGTCTCATGTGATAAAATGGAAAACTTATTGCAGAAATAGAGATGATTTTGGTAAGTTTCACAATGAAAACGTCCTTGAAATTGAGCTCAAAGTGGAAATGTTCGATTTTTACGAATGTTCAAGAGTAAGCAAATCACACCACACATCCAATACATGACAACTGGGGAGTCTAATATTCTTTCACTAGTACACTGATATTATTTATACCATTTTTACAATAATGCAGTAGTCTGCATAACAGTAAATTTTGCATTTTTTGTATGAATAAAAAATAAAAATAGAAAGCAATAGTAATATAAGAGGGGCCTAGAGACGTGACTAATGAACAGAGGATATGTTATTTTAGTGCCAAGAATGTCTACATTGTTTATTCTGGACCCTATTTTGAAATTGGCATCTTTTTTAGTTTGCGTGAAATTGGCCAAATTGCCAATTTCTGACACTTTATTGGGTAGTTCAAATCGGTAAATGGGCAGTTTCTTGTACTCAATTGATAGATAAAATGAAGTTCTAAAGAAATAGCTATGAGTTTGGTCAACTGGAACAACCCAACTAGCCAAAAACAGGGCTCAAAGTCGGCGAAATCGCCAATGTGTATATGTCGCCGAGACCGCTAACTTCACGGGAGCGTAATTCCATGAGTTTTCGACCAAATTTCGTACTTTTGGTGTCATTACCATTGGAAAAAGATTCTCTATCATTTCATAAGAATTTTTTTTTTTTTTTTTTTTCAAAAAATTCTGTGACAGAATGACAGTTTCAGAAAGGGGCTTGCGACAGTCAAAGGGTTAAACAAAATACACGGACGCAGTTTTTTTTCTCATCATGCACTTCATGCTGCAGGATTTTTTTTATATGGTGCACACTGCATAGACCCATTCTCTCATATCTGGGCCCAAATTTACCTTTCACAGCTTGAGTGAGTTGAACTCATGGCGTAGTTTTGTGGCACGGATAGACTTCAAACCCGTAATACTATGGTACAGACGGCGAAGTGGTTAAACCAAACACAAGGTTTGGTTTTCCATGTGATACACTGAGTGGGCAGAATTTTTTCATACTGTGCACACTCACCCATTCCCTCATGTCTATGCCAAAATTGACCATGCCCAGCTTATTTGAGGGAGCTGAGCTCTAAATTTAGATCTACATAAGGAACACTGGTGTCAGTGACATAGATCTATATGGGAGACAGTGGAAGAGCTAATTATAGTCGATGATTAAGGGACTCTTAACAGCTGCATCTTATTTTTCGGATGCTTCAATAACTTGGAGACATGCAAAAATACTGCTTTTGTTTTACTGATATGTAGATCAGATAGCCAGTGAATGGGACAAAATTGTTTCATTATTGTCTGATATACTGTATCTGTTGCAACTCTAAAAATATTCAGAGAGCTGAGTGTTCCAAGTCCAGGCTCCCAGACCCATGGGACAGTGGCTTTTTTGGAAATGCTCCCATACATAGGTAATCATAGCCAATTAGATCCATGGTATCAATAAACCTAATAATTCACTCCAATCAGGAATCAGTGGTTGCCTTCAGGGAATGATTACTGAAGTCATGCTTTCCTTCTTATTACCTCCTCTCAATTCATTTCTTCAAGCATACATAAGAATTAAGACTTTTTACATCTACATTTTAACAAAATAGTAAACAGGTGCTATAGATTTTCACTAACTCTTCCAAAATTAAGAATAACAAAAAGGCACTAATACTGTTTATAACCAATGATGATTAACTTTTAAAAAATCATCAATATCTAAATAAATGCATAGATCTATATCATTCATTAAGAGTAAAATTTTGTATAATTGTTATAGAAATTTACACAAAGTATTTTATTATTGTTAATTATATGATGAAAAAATCTAAATGTTCCATAAAAATTCTATTCATTAATCAAACTTTATGAGAATGTGTGATATGGACACATACAAGCAAACATGTATTGCCACACACCTGTCTGGTGATTTGATGCACTTCTTCATGATTTGACATTAAATCTTTGTAAAGGCGAGTATTTTCTTCTTCTAACATCTGCTTTTCTTCAGCACTCAATTCCCCATTCATTCTTTCCATTTCTTCCTCAAAAAGGGAAGTTGAACTTTGAGTCTTCTCAGGGACTGGTGTTTCATTATCTTTTACTTGATTTTTAGCTGTCTGTCCTTCATTTCCATCACTGTGTTGAAGGCTCTCAGAGCCAAGCTGGTCTGTCCTCTGGCTATCAGTTGAATGATCACAACACTCTGTAAGAAAAGCTTTATATATTAATAATTGCTGTATAGTCCTTAATATTGATGAATAAAACACATGGGAGACACCTGGGTATCTTTATTGCCAAAATGTTTCAAATGTTCAGCAGGCTTCTTCAGACAGATACAGAGGTGACTTCTATATTGAAAACAGTGAAAGATGTGGCGAGATAATTTAACCCTTTGACTGTCGCAACCCCCAATCCTGAGGTGTCTCCTGGTGTCGCAAAATTTAAAAAAAAAAATTATTTTTTCTTATGATATGATAGAGAATCTTTTCCCGATTGTAAAAACTGGCAGGAAATGGCAGAAATCGTACACCAAATCCAGTCATTCCTGGAGTGGAACCACAGTCGATGGCCTCCACTCCAAACCAACAGATACAGATACTAATGCCGGAAAAAAAATCCCCCCCCAGTACCAACAATACCACCAGTCCGATAACATTCTTCTTTGCAAATATACAGGGTCTAAAGCCAGCAACAAACAACAAAATACCTTTCATCCGTGGACTGCTTGCAGAGGCAAAGGCAATGTTCGCGGCTTTCACTGAGACCCACATAAAGGATCACTTGGACAATGAAATATGGATCCCAGGTTACAACCTATACAGATGTGACAGAGTGAACAGGCAAAAGGGGGGGGGTTGGCCTGTACATTGCAGAGTCACTTGTTTGCACAGAACTGCTTAATGCCTCAAATGACGTAGTGGAAGTTTTAGCAGTAAAGGTCGAGAACCAAAACCTAGTCATTGTGGTAGTCTACAAGCCTCCGGATGCAACATTCCAGGAACAGCTGTTAAAAATTGACCACTGTCTGGAAAATCTTCCAGCTCCTGCACCCAACATCTTGCTCCTGGGGGATTTCAACTTAAGGCACCTAAAATGGAGGAATATAGCAAATAATATTGTTGCAGTAATAACACCAGGAGGCAGCTCTGATGAAAACTCACACTCACACGAGCTTTTAAATCTCTGCACAAAATTCAATTTAAACCAGCAAATAATAGAGCCTACTAGACTGGAGAATACACTAGACCTCATATTCACTAACAATGATGATCTGATAAGAAATGTCACCATATCAAAAACAATATACTCAGATCACAACATAATTGAGGTTCAGACATGTATGCGAGGAGCCCCAGACCGACAAAATGAGACTAGTCACGAGGGAGCATTCACCAAATTCAACTTCAATAACAAAAACATAAAGTGGGACCAAGTAAACCAAGTCCTAACCGATATAAGCTGGGAAGATATACTAAGCAACACAGACCCAAACTTATGCCTAGAACAGATTAACTCGGTGGCACTCGATGTATGCACAAGGCTTATTCCTCTAAGAAAAAGGAGGAGTAGATGTGAAATAGAAAGAGACAGGCGCTCCCTTTACAGGCGACGGAAAAGAATAACAGAGCGGCTAAAAGAGGTCAATATATCTGAAATGCGCAGGGAGACACTGGTCAGAGAAATAGCAAGCATCGAACTTAAGCTAAAAGAATCCTTTAGGAGTCAGGAATCGCGGGAAGAACTAAAAGCTATAAATGAAATCGAAAGAAACCCAAAGTATTTCTTCTCCTATGCCAAATCAAAATCGAGAACAACGCCCAGTATTGGGCCCCTACTTAAACAAGATGGGTCCTACACAGATGACAGCAAGGAAATGAGTGAGCTACTCAAGTCCCAATATGACTCAGTTTTTAGCAAGCCGCTAACCAGACTGAGAGTCGAAGATCAAAATTAATTTTTTATGAGAGAGCCACAAAATTTGATTAACACAAGCCTATCCGATGTTATCCTGACGCCAAATGACTTCGAACAGGCGATAAATGACATGCCCATGCACTCTGCCCCAGGGCCAGACTCATGGAACTCTGTGTTCATCAAGAACTGCAAGAAGCCCCTATCACGAGCCTTTCCATCCTATGGAGAGGGAGCATGGACACGGGGGTCGTCCCTCAGTTACTAAAAACAACAGACATAGCCCCACTCCACAAAGGGGGCAGTAAAGCAACAGCAAAGAACTACAGACCAATAGCACTAACATCCCATATCATAAAAATCTTTGAAAGGGTCCTAAGAAGCAAGATCACCACCCATCTAGAAACCCATCAGTTACACAACCCAGGGCAACATGGTTTTAGAACAGGTCGCTCCTGTCTGTCTCAACTACTGGATCACTACGACAAGGTCCTAAATGCACTAGAAGACAAAAAGAATGCAGATGTAATATATACAGACTTTGCAAAAGCCTTCGACAAGTGTGACCATGGCGTAATAGCGCACAAAATGCGCGCTAAAGGAATAACAGGAAAAGTCGGTCGATGGATCTATAATTTCCTCACTAACAGAACACAGAGAGTAGTCGTCAACAGAGTAAAGTCCGAGGCAGCTACGGTGAAAAGCTCTGTTCCACAAGGCACAGTACTAGCTCCCATCTTGTTCCTCATCCTCATATCCGACATAGACAAGGATGTCAGCCACAGCACCGTGTCTTCCTTTGCAGATGACACCCGAATCTGCATGACAGTGTCTTCCATTGCAGACACTGCAAGGCTCCAGGCGGACATCAACCAAATCTTTCAGTGGGCTGCAGAAAACAATATGAAGTTCAACGATGAGAAATTTCAATTACTCAGATATGGTAAACATGAGGAAATTAAATCTTCATCAGAGTACAAAACAAATTCTGGCCACAAAATAGAGCGAAACACCAACGTCAAAGACCTGGGAGTGATTATGTCGGAGGATCTCACCTTCAAGGACCATAACATTGTATCAATCACATCTGCTAGAAAAATGACAGGATGAATAATGAGAACCTTCAAAACTAGGGAGGCCAAGCCCATGATGACACTCTTCAGGTCACTTGTTCTATCTAGGCTGGAATATTGCTGCACTCTAACAGCACCTTTCAAGGCAGGTGAAATTGCCGACCTAGAAAATGTACAGAGAACTTTCACGGCGCGCATAACGGAGATAAAACACCTCAATTACTGGGAGCGCTTGAGGTTTCTAAACCTGTATTCCCTGGAACGCAGGAGGGAGAGATACATGATTATATACACCTGGAAAATCCTAGAGGGACTAGTACCAAACTTGCACACGAAAATCACTCGCTACGAAAGCAAAAGACTTGGCAGACGATGCACCATCCCCCCAATGAAAAGCAGGGGTGTCACTAGCACGTTAAGAGACCATACAATAAGTGTCAGGGGCCCGAGACTGTTCAACTGCCTCCCAGCACACATAAGGGGGATTACCAACAGACCCCTGGCAGTCTTCAAGCTGGCACTGGACAAGCACCTAAAGTCAGTTCCTGATCAGCCGGGCTGTGGCTCGTACGTTGGTTTGCGTGCAGCCAGCAGCAACAGCCTGGTTGATCAGGCGCTGATCCACCAGGAGGCCTGGTCACAGACCGGGCCGCGGGGGCGTTGACCCCCGAAACTCTCTCCAGGTAAACTCCAGGTAAACACCAAAAAAAACGAAATTTGATGGAAAACTGACGGAATTATGCTCTCGCGAAGTTAGCGACCTCGGCGCTGTTTACAAATCGGCGATTTCGCCCACTTTGAGCCCTATTTTTGGCTAATTCCATTGTTCCAGTCGCCCAAACTCATAGCTATTTCCTTAGAACTCCATTTTTTTCTATCGATTGAGTACAAGAAACTGCCCATTTACCGATTTCAACTACCTAATAATGTGGTCAGAAATTTGCAATTTGGCCAATTTCACGAAAACTAAAAAATATGACAATTTCAAAATAAGGTTCAGAATGAACAATGCAGACATTCCTGGCTCTAAAATAACATTTTCTTTGCTCATCAGTCATGTCTCCAGGCCCCTCTGATATTACTCTTGCTTTCTATTTTGAATTTTTATTCAAACAAAAAATAGAAGACTTACTATTATGCAGACTACTGCAATGCTGTAATAATTGTATAAATAACATCAACCCATTCATGACTGCATATTAGAATGGCTAGTTGGACATTTATTAGACAATGGCATCATTTGTTTACTTTTGAACATTGGCAAAAATCAAACATTTCCCCTACTTTGAGCTCCATTTCTAGGTTCTTTTTATAGCAAAATCAATCAAAATCACCTCTATTTCTATAATATGTTTTCCATTCTATCAAATGAGACCAAGAAAACGAGAATACAACTATAAATACTATACGAAAATAGACCACAAATTCGGCATTTTAATTAAAAAAAAAACGGTCGGAGTTTTTTTTTCCTCATGCACTGCGTGCTCCAGGATTTTTTTTATATGGTGCACACTGACCACACAGACCCATTCTCTCACATGTGGGCCTACCAGCTTTCTCCTGCTTGATTTGAAGCCGCTAGAATTTATGAGTATATATACGTCAAACACGGTACCTTGTAAGACGTATATATACGGCCGCGACAGTCAAAGGGTTAAGGGGTTCAGCTCCTTAGTCCTGTGAGGTGATCAGTCCTTTAGCATTGATAGCTATGATCACTCCTTTACAATTGACAGCTGTGATGACTCCTTTAGCCTTGATAGATGTAATAAGTCCTTTAACCTTGAAAGTTGTGATCAGTCCCCTAATCTCGATAGGTGATCAATCCCTTAGCCTTGTCTGAAAGCATTCAGTCTCTTAGCCAAGGGACTGATTAACTTCTATCAAGGCTAAAGGGCTAAATACCTTCAAATTTTCTATCCACTTGCTCCACTGTTTCCAGTATAAAAGTCACCTCTGTGTTTGACTGAAGAAGCCTGCTGTGCATGCAAAACATTTTACCAATAAAAACATCCAGTATTGTATGACACTAATAATTTAAGAGTATCTAGTATTACTGGTGGAAAATGGAGGCATAACACTGCAAGTGGAGATATACTAATTGAAGTGCTGTTCTTTATTGGTACAGTGCTTCAAAAAGTATATGAATAGTCATAAAGTTCTGAATATACTTATACAGTACATGTACTGTATTGCCATTCATTTAGGTAGAATAAGC